GTGTTTTGGTATCAGTCAATGTCTGAATGGCATGCAAAATTCCATGAAAAAAAAAAGATATAAAACTTTGAGCAATACATATGCATTTTAAAGAAGGACAAGACAGTAAATAATGTTAAAATAATAGGAAAAACTGAAAGTTAATAGGAAATTAGAAACTGGAGAAACCCACAGGCAAGCACAAACAAAGGAGAGAGCTGCGGAGGAAATTTTCCCCAGCGTGTGTGTGAGAACAGACCCAAAACCATCAAGAAAAGCTCAACTGAGACACAAACAAAATGTACCAGAGCACTAAGACACAAATAATATATACGTAAATATATATATATATATGGAAATCACAGGACCAGAAACCAGGAGGTGATATGGTATGGTACAGAGTTCAAGACTTCCAAGGTGGCCATCATTATCAACTCAAGTCCAACTGAACAACTAGCAGAGAGGGAGATAGAGAAAGAGAAAGATGGAGGGAGGTATGTGAAAGGGCGGAGGAGGCCCATCGCAAGGTACTCACTCTCCGAAGGCTCTTGGTGATGCTGGGCTAGATTTACTAAGGACGTGTTTACACAGCGAGAAGAAGGAAGAAAAAGTCAAGAACAAAATAAACATTAACATCCAAATGTTTCACAAGATGAACAAATATTGTTCTTTTACCTGTTGGGTAAGGTAGATATATCTCATTCGCAAAATAAACAAATGTGAGGCAGCGTGGTGGAATCAGGCTCTCGTCAAAATAATCAAAGTGAAGAAACTTGCATTTTTCCGCAGGTTTGTGAATTTTTATCAAATTTTGGTTTTTTGGCTCAACACCTTTCATGCACATTAAAGAACTCATTTCTGGGTGGATTTTTCTGAAAAGCGTTGATTAAAGGCATAAAAAATGTAAATCTTCAGATACCACAGACTCTTAAGCTAAGGAAATAACTAATCTTTGGCGCCATTTTCTCACTAATTTTACCTCTGAAAACAGATGACCCCCACCTCCTTCTTTTGCAAATATCTCGACTGGTATTCAAGATAAATAAAGACAAGTAAACAAGCTTTGAGATGATATCAATAACTCTACATGCCCAAAAATTGACAAGAGCCTGATTCCACCACGCTGCCTCACAAATGTGTTTCTTCATATATGCTAAATGTAAAATGTTCAAATATATTTAATGCATTCTTTAGCACCCGTGTGATGGTTTGTGCGATTTTTTGCATCAGGCTGAGTACAACATATGCAATTTAACGTAACCATGATTACAAATAACTGAATCAGTCATAAAACATAAACCCACAAATGACGTGTACTGGGAAGGGAGAAACCACAAGTCACTACCACTCTAAAAATTCAAGATCCAAACTCTAAAAGCAATATATAAAGAGGAAAGATCCACTTAATAAATAACAGGCCAAAAATGCACATAAACTACGAACAAACAAGACACACTGTGGTTGTCAGTCCAAGACTGCGTAACACAAACACAAAACAGAAAACATCGAGGACTCAGAGGAGCTGAGAGCTTACATTTGGGCGGGCTCACCCCCTTGGTGATGAGGTGGAGAGGGACAGAGACGGCTCGGCGGTACGGTGGCTTCCCCTTCATGCTCTGACTGACCGACCGGACGCTGTCTGTGCGGGCCAGGGCAAACTTGGCACGGTTCAACTTACGCTGAAAGTGCTCGCTGTGTCGGTCACTGCTGGTCAAGTCTGTGAACAAAATTGTACAAGTGAAGATTATCTCAGATATGCACATATTTTTGTTTTTTCAAAAATATAATTGAACCTGTCCACACTTATTAATTAGAAAAAAAATATAATTGAACCTGTTCAAGACAATGACCCATTGTTGAGGAGAAAAGAGCTCGAACAGGTGGTCATTAGAGCAGGTTCGACTGTATTAATATTTCAGAATGTATTCTAAATACTAAACTGGAGTCATATTTTTTCTTTAACCAACAGAAAAAACTGCAAGCGAGCTTTAGACAGTAGTCTGGTTCACGAATATGGTATATGGTTAGGTAAGTCTTAGCTCTTTATCTCCGGCAAGCCGCTCCCAGCAGCTTGCTAGTGGCTCAGGCACATTCCTTTACGACTTCGATGCCCAATTATTTTTCGGAAATTGCCGAAAACAGGTCTCTTTTGACGGGAGATAATTCATTAGATGAAGAAATATCGAAATAGGTTCACTTTTTTATATTTAATGACCAGTGAAGTAATATAAATGTCAATTTTAGATTTCGTACCAAAACAGGGTCCTGGCATAGTGGGTTTACCCCCCACAGAGATAAACAGTTAACGTTCTTGACAGGCAAAGTAAAGCTCACTCTCATTTACCTGTTGGGTAGGGTATATCCCATTTACCTGTTGGGTTGGGTATATCTCCTTTACCTGTTGGGTAGGGTATATCTCCGCTGTTTTCCAAATCGACCTGAGCCTCAAGTGACAGAGTGTCAAAACGGTTGAGGAAAAACTCCCAGGTCAAAATCAAGACATCTCTGAGAGCGTTTTCTAACACTTGGATCCTGTGCAGGATGAGCGAGCGGTCCTCGATGACCGAGTCAAACTGGAACTCCAGACAGCTGCACAAACACTGGGGACACATAGTGAGGGAACACGCATTTTAAAAATGGTGAAATGGTAAGGGTTTTTAATTAAAACACCCCTATCAACACTATTAAGTTATTTAAGAGGTGGGACCTTCGAGTTTAACGTCCATCTCCGAAAGGACTGAGCCAAGAGGGAAATCATGTAAAGTGCCTTTCCCAAGGACACAACGTCGGACCGAGCTGAGGCTCAAACCACAAGACCCGCAATCTCACGAATATGAGTCCGGTAGCCTAACCACTAGGTCACTAACACGCATCATCATAAAATGATAAATCTCAAACAGACATCAGTGATCATGGTTCTCCATTCATTTCTCCGCTCCGATGCTCTTAAAAAACTGTCATTACCCTGGTTTTTCCCCATCACCCATCTTTTCAGGTTTTCCAGATAAGTTTCTCTGGGTCTGCCCCTGCCTCATTTGCCTTCTATTTCTCCAGTGAGAGCTAAAGGTTCAAAACCTTTGTGTCAGTTCAAAAGAAGCATGAAGATGAAAAGATGGACAGAGAGAGAGAGACCTGCCTTATTTTCCTTTTATTTTTCCAGTGAGAGCTATATGTTAAAAACCTTTAAGTTGATTCAACAGAGGCACAAAGATTAAAAAGATGGACAGAAAGAGAGAGTGTCAGACAGACAGACAGACAGACAGACAGACAGAAAAAAACTAAGCAAACATTAAAAAATGAACACTTCAAGCAGTAACAACAATACCTTCAGGGCAGCCGGTCTAATAGTCTCCAAAAACATCATCGCTCGCTGTGCCACAGAGGCATTAATATCTTCCACAGCACCAATCAAATGACAGAAAGTGTGAGCGAGCGACGTCTGGATTATGTGATTGTTCCGAATGACCTCCGGCTCCAGACAGCGAGCGATCATGGTGACCTTCTCGACCGCGGCGAAGCGAGCCCGCCAGTCATCATGCCCGAAGTCTTGCTCCACCAGGCACCAGAGGGTGTGGGAGCCCGAGGGCAGCGTGATGCAGTGCAGGAGCAGAGGGATGCACAGCGTGGCCAGCTGGGAGTGTTCTGTCTGCAGCAACTTCCACAAACTGCCACGAGGAACACAATTTATGGAAACACAATTTCCTTTTTCATTTTTTTAAAACTTGAAACAAAACAAAATTTGAATGTTCTTATAATACAAATTTTATCACTTCAAACTGTATAAATTTCGTAGAAATTTACAGTAAAAACTTTCTGTACAAATTTTGTAGAAATTTACAGTACAAACTTTCTTATCTCAAACAGTGCAAATTTTGACATAAATTTACAGTACAAACTTTTTTTATCTCACACAGCACAAATTTTGTACTTTCCATAAAAGAAACTGTGATGACTCTCATAATTCCAGATTTTGCTTGGTCCATTGACTACAAATCTGTCTGATAGTGAGTGAGAGAGAGAGAGAGAGAGAGAGAGAGAGAGAGAGAGAGAGACATACAGACAGACAGACAGACAGAAAGAGAGAGAAATAGAGACAAAGGGTACAAATCTTTTCTAGAGAGAGGTGGTAATGAAACCAACGATAATTGTGCCTTGAACAAAGCGTAACTTACGTGGGTATGAATCTTTTGCGGAAGGAGATAGTAATGAACTCTGTGTACTGGTTGATGGTGTAGTTGAGACATTCTCCGTGCAGGATGAGGTATCGCAGCGAGGACAGGACAGCATACAGCGCATCCACGTCTGACACATTCACCAGGCTCTGGAATGAGATGATGATGATGAGAAGAAGAATGATGATGATGATGTGATGGTCCAAAAATTCCTCTGTTTGTATCAAAATGACCCCCCAAAAATGTCAGTCTCCTTTCCTACTTTTTCTTCAACTAAATTTTCAAAAAATTAGTTGATTTGATCCAGATTCACATAAACTAGGTTTTCTTATCAAAGCCAACAAAAAAACTTTGTTTCAACTTTAGTCCTTGACATTCTTTTTTCAAATACACCAGCTACTTACGTTAATGTTGCTATTTAAACTATTTTTTTTCTGTTTGAAAATGGGTTTTTTCCGCTTTTGTTTTATGTGATGACAAGCTGTGCCAGCATACAGCTACTGATAGAGTCAAGAAGCACCAATCAGCGTATAAATATGTAAAAGACTCAAGAGTTCGATTCCTGAGAAGGGAAGTAATTTGATTGAACATGTTTGTCTTTTTGCTGGGATGCTGTACCCCATTTTGTGCAGGGCGGCCCTGCGAGGTACGTCAAAGCAGCCCACACCCTTAATGACCTACATTGTATTGATAGAGGTGTAAAACATATTCAAGCAGCAGCACCCACCTCCAGGAGCACGTCGTACAGCTGCAGATACATGGGCATGGCAGGGATGTTGAACTCCGGCTCTTCCTTCTCCTCATCCAGCTCCACACTTTCATCTGCGAACACATTTCAGAAATGAGAGAAAGATGTTACAGGAATCACTGAAGTCATTTTTTTTTTCAAACTTCGCAAGGTAGGCTTCACGCAAAAAGTTAGAGAACTCTGGGGTCTTAAAATTCATAGACCAGCAAATGTTGTGTAGCATTAGGCCCTTCTCTGTCACACACCGGAGACCCTGGTTCCATTCCCAAATGGGAAGAATATTTATCAAGTAACTTGGTCCCTCTGCTGGAACATCATTTTCCTTTGATCCCACGTTGGCTCTGACCTGCCTCCTAAATGATCTCTATTGTGTCGAGGTGACATAAAACACTTTATTCATTAAAAAAAATTATTATGATAATCCTTATCATTGTCTCAAAAAAATAGTCTTGAGCAACAGACAGCATGTTGTTGCTAAGATAAGAGATACGATAAGATAATACTTTATTATTCTGGAGGGAAAATTTTCTTGGCTGTACAGGTCCGTAAAAATACATGCAGGTACACATAGAAATTAAATTATATATTGCTCCCATTAAAATTCAATATGAAAAGAAAAATAAAGCTGACAAAACGTACATATCACATCAGAGGCATCATTCAGCCACATGCAGGCATTTAATTACAAGACCTTTAGAGCTATATAGATACATACTCGAAAAAGCAATAAACATTGATGTTTATTCTGACAGTAGCATTATACTAGACGGTAAGAAACTTCTTTTGTATCTTTCTTTCCTTGTTTTTTTAGAGGTGCATATCTGCCGCTGTGTGATCTTACAATTTGTGTAGAAAAGGGGCATGTGATGGCTTGCAACTCGTTAAAATTCTTCTATGCCGGGACTCACTGAGCGACTCTGTGCGGGTGTGTGGCTTCATGTCGTCCAGTTTGGGAAGGTCTTTGTTGGGGATCTTGAGCGGGTCGCGGGGACAGACGTGCTCCATGAGCTGAGCCGCCAGCTGGTGCCACAGCGCAATGTTCTGGCAGAACATACAGTTGACACGCTTCGTGTCTGTGTCGCACGTGTGTTGGCCGTCCCAGTTCTTGTGCAGCATGCCGGTCAGTAGCGACATGACTTCGCGACTTGTCTCATTGTAGATGCCCAGATGTTGGGGTGCTTCTTGCAGATCCATCTGAAGGTACAAACAATTGAATTTTGAGTAAAGTCGGTTTTTGTTTTATTAAGTGTTTTACAGCACTTTCAACACAGTAAGGTCATATAAGTACCGAAGATTAGAAGTGTTACAAGAGAATAACAAACACAAAAAAGAAGGAGGGGAGATAAAGACGATAGATGTTTGAAAGGAAAGAAAAAGCAAACCACACCAGAGTACCCGTCAACCACCCACAAAGTCGGTTAATTTTTTGTTGTAAGTTTAGTTTTAGTGAAAATTTTACACCACTTGCAAAACAAATTTTTTGAGTAAAGAGAAGAACATTAATGCAACAACTCTAATTTAATACATAGGAAAAAGTAAAGGCCGCAAATACAGGTGAAAAAAGATGAAGGAACTACCAGCGATGCCCTGTCAGATAGCAACTATAGAAAAGAATTTTTCCATGGCTCCATCAGTGCACACACACACACACACACACATACATACACGCACACACACAAATACATACGCGCACGCGCGCACACACACACACATAAACACCCAATCACAGGCACCCCACCCCCCCTCCCTTTACACACACGCACCCACACAGAGAGAGAGATTGATCCATCACCACACCTGTTTGAGTGTAAGATCCAGCATCATAACAAAGCAGGGCAGGACCAGCTCCGATTCCTTGTCGTACAAATCGTAGGGGTCCGACACAAATGGGAACCTCTCGGGGCTGAGTGGGGCTGCATGTTCTCGCGCCGGGGACCCAGGGGTCAGGATGGAGTGACCTTGACCTTCCTCCTGCTGCAGTGGCTGTGAATTCTCCACATCTGTGCTGATTTTCTCCACCCCCATTTTGAACATCTTCAAGATCTGATGCATTGGGATAACGATATCCAGGCTTCCTAAGATCTGGAAGAAAGATGTGGGGAAAGAGTAAGACAAAAAGAAATCATGTAACAGCTGCACTGGAGAGAGAGAGAGAGAGAGAGAGAGAGAGAGAGAGAGAGAGAGAGAGAGAGAGAGAGAGAGAGAGAGAGAGAGAGAGAGAGAGAGAGAGAGAGAGAGAGAGAGAGAGAGAAAGAGAGAGAGAGAGAGAGAGAAAGAGAGAGGGAGGGAGAGGGAGAGAGGGAGAGGGAGAGAGAGAGAGAGAGAGAGAGTGAGGGGGAGAAGAAGAGAGAGGGGGGACAGAGAGAGAGAGAAACAGACAGAAAGACAGAGAGAGTGAAAGAAAGAGAGAGGGGGCCATAGCCTACCTGCAGCCACTGTAGCGCCTGCTCCATGACAGAGGCGCTGGTGTCGTTGAAGCGGTCGCTGACAAAGTTGTACATCTTGTGGAGGGTGAACGGGAGAGGGCACATGTCTATGTCAAATGCTTTGCTGATTGGGTGGGAAACAAGAAAGTGGGGGGAGGGGTTAACTTTTTTTTTTCTAAAAAAAAAAAAAGGAAAAAAAAGTAACTATGAGTGACGTGTGCTGACAAAATGAGTTACTTCTCAGATTTAAGCCCGATTAAAAAATAGAAACATCAAATTTATAGGTTGAAGTTTTACAATTTATCAGTATGAAATGATAAAAGACATGTTAATTAAACTTGAAAAGAATGGCATTGGTTTAGAGTCTACAAATATGACCCTTGTGTTGAATTTTGGATGATATCTCCATTCACGGATTGCGAGAAGTAACTCATTTTGTTAGCACGTGGAATTAGTGCCCCCTTTCCAAAGTTACAATTTATTTAACAAGTAGGACCTCGTATGTAATTCCATTTCCCATAAAAGTCCTCCAAGTGGTTGGAGAGCTTTGAAAACTTCCAAATTAGCCAAAGTTTTCAACTCCATTTGCAACATAGTCCTGTGTAGTTTCAACAGAGTTAATGCAAATTTACCAGGAAAAAGGACATAAAAGTAAAGATTCTATCAAAATTAATACAAATTATTGCTTTAAATGCCTATAATGACAAAATAAAAAGCAGTGAATTTGTAGTAAAAAGTGATGAGAGAATGTGGTAGAAAGTGAAGTGTAGTACAAATAAAGAGAAGCATATTAACACAATAATGGCAATTTATTGTATTGAAAGAGTAAAATAGACAGACAGAGGAAAAGAATAGAAGTAGGGCCAACCAGAGGTGCCAATCGAGAGAGGGCCTAATAATATCATAACTAAAGGTGTTTTACACCCCAATCAACACAATTAAGATAATATAGCAGGTGGGTGATGTACTCCCACTTCTGAAATACAACAAAATTGCTAAAACAATTGTCTAAATTTAAATTTATAATCACTTGTATGAATATTAATTAAGCTGATGCAAGTTTTTTTAAAATTGGATTTGATTCATCATAAGTTTTATGGCATTTTGACAAAACTAGATATTTGGTCACCAAAGTGCCAACAAAAGGTTTATAAAGCTGAAAAGATGACACAAGAACAGCAGAGAGGAAATTTGACTTCAACAATCAAGAATTTGCGAAATACTGAGAACAAAATTTTAGCCAGAAGAAGCATACAAGGAACAAGACAAAAAAATCAAACATTCAGCTGTTGGGAAAGGCGTCATGTAATGGAAGCAAGCAAACAGAAATACCTCAGGAGAACTTTGAGTTCGTGCAGCTCGTCCTCCGGCACCTCTGTTCTGATGGCCTCCAGCCAGTACGGCATCACGTAGTCCCAGATCTGGGACAAGATAGAGAGGAGAATTACCATGCTATGGGTCATCCCAGGCAGAGACTAGCACGTTTTTGCTTTGGAGAAGATCCAGAAGAACAAACATTGCAAAGGAGAAGGCTCAAAGCCGAACAATCGTTCAATATCCTTATAGAAGGCTGTAGATTGTCCAGTTAGAAGGGTCGAAAACATTGTCATCCAGGACAAAATGCAATTTATAATTAAAATCATTATTATATCATTTATATCATCACTAATTTTTTAAATTAATATATCAGCTTTTATTTCAGCACATAATTTGACATTATGATGACAATAAGAAGTCAGTATAAGCGTGGGTATCTTTTAGCTTTTTTTTTTTTTTTT